TCATTGTGCAAACATCATAGAATGTACCAACCCAAACCTAGATAGACAGCCTACTACACGCCTAGGCTATCTGGTGAGCCTGTTGCTTCTGGGCTACAGACGTACACAGCATGTTCCTGTACTTAATCCTATAGGCAATTGTAACACAATGGTAAGTATTTGTGTATCTAAACATATCTAAACATAGGAAAGGAACAGTAAGCATACGGTATTGTAATCTTATGGGACAACTGTCACATATGGGGTCCGTCATTAACTGAAATGTTGTGTGTGGGTCATGACTATATTAGAGATGTGATAATTTGCAGACAGACCGAAATTCACAAAGGACTCTATGAGTTTCATTTGCATGGAAAAGACTAGTATTAATACATTCAGTATAGACAGTTCTTACATTTAAGTTTTAGAGCCAAGAAGACTACCCTGGAAATGCTTTTCTGGTTTCATTTTGGCCTATTTAATTACCCCTACCTTTGGAAAAGTTTTTAAAACTCTGGCCTCGTCCTTCTAATTTATATTCACAGATTAAGTTTCAGTTCTAAGAATTATCAACTAATTTCATGTTTTTTTTTATTCCATGAAGAGATAGAAGGTACCCTCTCATCAGAACAGCCCTTTTCATCCTTTTCTCCTCCCAAGTGAAGCCTGAGCCCCTGCCACACCGATTTCCTTCTCACCCTGCTTCCTCACCACGCCACTCTGCAGGTCAGGAGTATCAATGCCAAGTGGTCCCTTTCATCTCCTCATAATTCTTCCCCAGCCACTTAGTGGGTTAGTCAGGCCCTGCCTTCTCTTCAGCCAGCACTGCAGTCCTGGGAATGTCTTGAGTGAGCCCTGGAGTCTCTGCACAGGGTGAGTTTCCTGTTGTACATGCTCAGCCCAATATTTTTTGATTCATGAATATTGAAGAATTAGAGATCACAAGGCCTTACCACCATCTTGTACCCTCTAAAAACATAATGACCCTTTATTTCATGGCACTTGACTTAGTTTATTCAGCATGATCAGGGCAGCATTCAGGCTATAGCAAGCCTGTTAAATATTTACCCATGAGGCGGATATTTATACATGAATCAGCAGCACTTATCAGTGTGTGACACTGGATGTAGATTTTGGACCCTTACAAGCTAAGAAACTACTGAATTAAATAAAGGGTGAAATGACGTCCTTTAAAAAATAAACTCTCAGTTAAAACTATCTTTCGTAGTGCCTAAAGTACTTTACACTTGTTGAGGCTCACCCCGGACAGCCAACCAAGTCATTCAGAATCAGACCTGCCAGAGTGGCTAGTCTGTCACATTTGAGATCAAATGAATCTGATTGTTTGATGGTTGGGTTGGGAGAGTACTGAGATATTAACAAAATTAAGAGGAGATCCTGCCTTGCTGCTGTGTGGGAAATTGTAAATGGAAATGAGCCATACATCACAGTGTCTACTTTGGTGACGGTCTGAAGCCTCTAGGAGCCCCTCATCATACTGGGATGCTGGCCTGGCTCACTGATAGCCAGATCCGCTGTTTCTTTCCATCCCTGTAGTCTTTCATGATTAAAAATCCCCCTGCTCTCAGGGAGGTAACATATATCAGCAGAAACAGCCTAGACTCTGGTGACAGGCAAACCTGTGTTCAGATCTTGGTTTTACCTCTGTCTAATTGTGTGAACCTAGGCAGTATTTTCTGTTCTCTGAGCCTCAGTTTTTTCACATGTGAAATTACAACAATACTTCCCACCTCTTTGAACTATGGAGAGCATTTAATTAGATAATATGATAAAGCACCTAGCAACATGTGTTAGTTCTTGGTAGTGACCAAAGCAGGGTGCCGACACATGGGCCTGGCAGCAGAACACCTGGCCTTTGGAGCTCTTCACACCTCTGCTTTTCTCCATCATTACAGGTGATTTTTGTCTAACGACTGTATTTCAGAATGGCACAATCAAAACAGAGGGAGACAGTTTCAAGTTTAAAGGATTACTCAGACTGTTTTCCTTCCTTGCATATAATTTAATGACTGTAATATTTTATATAATTCAAAGCTTATTACTGTCAACTCCAGGGAAGTGTCCAAATTATTTTCTTTTTTGGAATTTTATTATGCCAAGGATTGTTCGTCTAAGTGAGCTATGAGTAGCTTGGATCTTGTCATTCTCTATGTTATACAGATATTCAGCCAGTAGCTACAGGACATAAATATTGTATTTATTTTTCTTGCACTGTGGATTATTTTTTTCTTAATCAGCTTTCTATCCTAATGAAATCATTAGAACCTTCTGGTTAGATGTGTGCCTTCTGTGTTATTTGTGCATACAAAAAGAGGAGACAAAAAGCCTTCCTCTGGTTTATAGGAAGTCATAGGAATTTTCGTAGCTGTCTTCAGAGTTTAGGCTAAATCGAATCTAATGCCTACTCTAAGCGTAGCAAAAGGAAATGATGGCCTTGCTGATTCTAGGCAGTTGCAGAATGCAGATGATTCATTAATGTCATACTTAGTCAAACACTGTCTTACAATTTTCTCAACTGTCAGAGTTGTGCTTTTAGGTTAGATCTGAGTAGAAAAAGTCAATATTGAATATTTCCACTCCACATTGACTTCCTTGTGTCACTTGAGATTTTGTTCATTTAGACTTTTTATTTGCATGAGCAAACACAAAATTCATTTATTTATTTATTTTGAGATGGAGTCTCACTTTTGTCGCCCGGGCTGGAGTGCAGTGGCACGATCTCGGCTCACTGCAGTCTCCACCTCCTTGGGTTCAAGCAATTCTCCTGCCTCAGCCTTCCGAGTAGCTGGGATTATAGGGGCCTGCCACCACGCCCAGCTAATTTTTGTATTTTTAGTGCAGACAAGGTTTCACCATGTTGGCCAGGATGGTCTTGATCTCTTGACCTTGTGATCCACCCTCCTCGGCCTGCCAAAGTGCTGGGATTACGGGTGTGAGCCACCATGCCCGGCCCCACTCAATTTATTTTTACCAGGAAAATTAATTTCAGAAATCTGTAGTCAATAGAGAGACAGGATGGGTTTGTAGTCCTTTTAGTAGTGTTTTATACATGTATATGCACATTCACATACATACTTCCTGTATCACAAACCCTACACTGAATCAAAGTACCCTAAACTCTTTCTTGGTTTGTGTATTTGTTTGTTTGTTTGTTGAGACGGGGTCTCACTCTGTCACCCAGGCTAGGGTACAGAGGCACGATCTTGGCTCACTGCAACCTCTGCCTCCAGGCTCAAGTGATCCTCCCACCTCAGTTTCCTGAATAGCTAAGGCTACAGATGTGCACTACCATGCCTGGCTAATTTTTAAAATTTTTTGTAGAGATGAAGTCTTCTTATGTTGTCCAAGCTGATCTCGAACTCCTGGACTCAAGTGATTTGCCAACCTCAGCCTCCCAAAGTGCTGGGATTATAGTCGTGAGCCACTGCACCTGGCTGCCCTGAACTCTTTAGAAATGATTTTCTAGCCGGGTGTAGTGGCTCACACCTGTAATCCCAGCACTTTGGGAGGCCAAGGCGGGTGGATCACAAGGTCAGGATATCGAGACCATCCTGGCTAACACGGTGAAACCCCGTCTCTACTAAAAATGCAAAAAATTCGCCTGGCGTGGTGGCGGGCGCCTGTAGTCCCAGCTACTTGGGAGGCTGAGGCAGGAGAATGGCATGAACCCGGGAGGCGGAGCTTGCAGTGAGCCAAGATCACGCCAATGCACTCCATCCTGGGCGACTGAGCGAGACTCGGTCTCAAAAAAAAAGAAATGATTTTCTAGGCAGTTATTGTCACACCTTTTTCTTCCACTTACAACCTTGTAACTGTGGGGTCTTGGATAATAATCCAACATTATAAATAAATAATCACAACATTAAGAAGTAATCACAACATTAAGGGATTTTAGGGATTTTTAAAAATATCTCATCGTATTACAGAGAGGGTTTAGGGGACTTATAGAAGTATATGCATTAAAATGAAATTAAGAAAAGAAAAACAAGCTAAGGCAAAAGGAAAGGGAGCATAGGAAAGAAGATGAAGTGAAGATTAAGGGTGATAAATGAAATGTATGCTTTAAAGTTCTGAACAATTTCTTTTAATAATTGTGTGCTGGTTAATTTAAACTGAAAAAAAAGAGGTTTTTTTTGTTTTTTTTTTTTCTTTTGAGACTGAGTCTCGCTGTATCGCCCAGGCTGGAGTGCAGTGGTGTGATCTTGGCTCACTGCAACCTCCGCCTTCCAGGTTCAAGCGATTCTCATGCCTCAGCCTCCTGAGTAGCTGGGATTACAGGTGCCCACCACCACACGCCCAGCTGATCTTTGTATTTTTAGTAGAGACCAGGTTTCGTCATGTTGGCCAGACTGGTCTCAAACTCCTGACCTCAGGTGATCCCCCCACCTCAGCCTCCCAAAGTGCTGGGATTACAGTTGTGAGCCACTGCGCCCGGCCAGAAAAAAGGAATTTCTGAAAGATCTGGAAATTATTTCTGAATCAACATTGTATCTTACTACTTGGATCAGTGATTATTGACTGCACCTTCTTGTATACCTTTTGAAATACAAGATAATGGCCGATAAGCTGTAGAATTAGTCTCTTTAGAACTCTGTTACAGTGTTGCAGCAATTCATTTTAGTTCAGTTTCAGTGTTTAATGAATAACTTACCTGTGCCCAGCAAAGAATTGGGCATAATGAAGAGTACGAAAGTGTATGTTTCAGTAATACCTGCAGCCCATTGGTGTTGGTAAGACATTTACCCATCCCATGCCAATCAAAATTTTCTAATTTGTACTGTTGCATGTTATCAATGATGTATAATGCAAACATGCTAGTTTATTAAAATGAATTAAAATGCAGAAATGTAATCATAAAGTGAAGCCCATGTACCCATCGTCATTAACCTAGGCAGTCGGTGGCCAGACTTTGATGAGAGAAGCCGAGTCTGCTTGGGGGTAACACTTCTTAAGTTGCTTAAGCCCTAAGAGAAGTGTCCATTGTACTCTTGTCCTTTCAGTGCACTTGGAGGCTCCTCAGCTCTTCATATCCCAGCTTTCCCAGGAGGAGGATGTCTCATTGATTACGTTCCTCAAGTATGCCACCTGCTCACCAACAAGGTAAAAGCAAGTCCCCAACTCATCCCTCTTGTGAGATTTCTTCCTCCAGTCCACCACGTACCCAGAATCATCGTGCATGCTCCGTCCTTCTCAGACCATCTGCTCAGTTTCAGCCTCTGTATAGACACCTGCCCTTCCTACTGTGAATTACAGTTAATCTGTTTCTCTCTCTATTTCTTTGCCCTCCTTCTTCCTTTTCTAAGGATTCTGACCTCCTGTTCCAGTCTTATCTTCATCTCTTAACTTTGTGTCTGGGATTTAAGTCACGTCTTTCTTGAATTTCCTTTACCCAGTTTTTGCCAGTTCTTGCACCTTCTTAAACTTTAAAACTTTGGAACCCCATTGCTTCCCAATTATCCAGAGCATGCATGCGTGTGTGCTTGTGCTTGTGCTTGGCAGTAGTTGATATCAGAGTAATTGTTTAAAACTGCCTTCATCTTTCTCTGCATTTCTGTACTTTACTTTTTAATAGTCAGCCTTTGATTCTTCTCGTCATACCTGGGAGCAGTTCACTAGTGTCCTTTGCCTAGGGGCAAGATTTCAGCTGGTCTTTTTTTTTTTTTTTTTTTTTGAGACGGAGTCTCACTCTGTAGCCCAGGCTGGAATGTAGTGGCACGATCTCGGCTCACCTCAATCTCTGCCTCCCAGGTTCAAGCCATTCTCCTGCCTCAGCCTCCTGAGTAGCTGGGATGACAGGCACCCTCCACCACGCCTGGCTAATTTTTGTATTTTTAGTAGAGATGAGGGTTCACCCTGTTGGCCAGGCTGGTCTCGAACTCCTGACCTCAGGTGATCTGCCTACCTCAGCCTCCCAGAGTGCTGGGATTACAAGTGTGAGCCACCGTGCCCAGCCAGTCAGCTGGTCTTACACTCAGTCAGATGACCTAAAGCTTCTCTTAGCTACATGAATAAGCCATTACATTAGCAAGTAGCTGAGTCTAATGGTTATTGTTAGATGTTTCCAAAAAGTATAAGAATATACTTGTTAATGTCCAGCTAGTATATTTAGCTGAAAACTAGTGATACTGATGCACAAGCAATGCTGACTCTCTTTCTTCTCCCACATAGACTGTGACTCAGTTTGTTTAGTTGCCAGAGTGCAGTTTTCTTTGCTCCTGTTGACTTGTTCACATTGGCTTGGAAAAGTAGACCTTTTGTTTGTCTCTTTCACTCAAAAGATAGCTCACTTCTATATAGAAAATAGTTTAAAGGTACAATAATCTTTCAAGTGCTTCAGTATTATTTTTCAAATATCAGAGAAACTAAAATCTAGCAACTCCGCCGTCTGTGGGCCAGGCACAGATTCCAGGCTTTAACCCTCATGCAGGGGTTGCTTCTCATCAGACCAAATTTCCCCAGCCTCTTGCCCTCCTGCAAAACTGATTGGAGGACAGAATTCTTATTTACATTCTGGGGCTTTGCACTGCCTTCAAATCTGTGTCCCAGAATTATAGAGAAAAATGCAAATTTGGTCTTCTAGAAGGGAGAAGAAAAGCCTTTTTAAAGCTCTCCAATTGAGATTAATTTCTAGTCATACATTTTCCTCAAAAAAATTATAACACCGTTTTCCCAGAAATATAAGAATCAGTCAATTTTTCTTATCTGGTTTCTTTCATTAATTTTACTTGTCTTTTGAAATTGGTGTTCTTCTGTTTGCTACAAATGAGGACAGTATGGGCTGCTTTTAGAAACAATCTCTTCAAATGAATTTCCATAATTATATTGGAATCTATCTTTATAGCCAGTTTTGTTGTGGGTTTCTGTTAAAATGGTTTTCTGTTTTTAAAATCAAGTATACAGAACTGTTTTCATCCCCTTTTTAAACAAAGCCACTTAAGCAAACTTATCATCTGCTTTTCTTTTCCCAAAATAACATTTCTGATCCTGCGTTAAGCCTGCAAAGTAAGCACTGTTTTTATAAATTGACATAAACCCCTATTATATAAATAGAATTGTTTTACATTTAAAGGGTACAACATGGCTATCAGTACCAATTGTGTCAAGGTTATTTCAAGCACTTTATCTTGAGCTTTTGTTAGCCGTGGAAACTCAGTGTGGCTATAGCCAATATAAACAATTTTGGGGGTCTCTCCTTCCCACCATTTCTTCCAGCCATCATGAGAACATTATAAGGAATGTGTTTTCGTGTTAGAAGCTGGTGGGCAAATGACTAACTTTCAGATGCCTAGCTTAATGAGTGCACAATTTTTTTATAGAAACTGTCATTGGGTGATAATGAGGAAATATAAAAAGGCAAAGCGAAATAAAATCTCCTATTGTAATACTCCTTATTCTGATATTAGAATTTTAAAACTAGAGAAGCATTATTCTGCCTTTTTTAATAGGAGCTCAAGATAACCAAATAACCCCATTTGATGAGAGAAAGCTCTTTACAGAGAATGTCAGCTGATATATGCAAAAGGAATGATGGGATTCAAAAATCATCATTTTACAGTCCCTAATGAAATCATTGGTTCAGACAAGGATCTCCAATAAATACTAAAGCCATTAGGTGAAAGGTTGATGGGAAACGAGGTCTTCCCACGCTTCAGAGGGTAGGTCCATAGACTGTTCACTGTGGCAGAGGGAACATTCCCTTCCAGTGGAGTGGTCTGGCTATCGTCACCTTAGCCAAGTGATCAGGCCCAGTATCATCTGGGAAGTTTTCTTGCCAAAAATGTTCAAACTGGACCTAATCACCCTTTAGCTCTAATTTCTAATTTATTGGAAATACAGAGAGTAAAGGAAAAAGGAAGAAAACAGAATTGAGACATTCTATAAGACTACTAGCCCAATTTCTTTTCTTTTTTCTCTCTTTTTTTTTTTTTTTTTTTTAAAGAGATAAGGTCTTGCTCTTTTAAAAGAGATGAGGTGGCCCAGGCTGGGGTGCAGTGGTGCCATCTAAGCTCAATGCAGCCTTGAACTCCTGAGCTCAAGCATTCCTCCTGCCTCAGCCTCCTGAGTAGCTAGGACTATAGGTGCATATCACCATATCCAGCTAATTTCTTTTGTTTTTTGTTGAGATGAGGTCTGGCTGTGTTGCTGAGGCTGGTCCTGAATTCCTGGCCTCAAGTAATCCTCCTGCCTCAGACTCCCAAAGTACTGGGATTACATGCGTGAGATTCCGCATCTGGATATAGCCCAATTTATTTGAAAAATCAGTGTCATATATGTGCATGCAGGCACACACACTTACACACACTCAAGGAGGTACTATTTATTATAGATTTAGAAACTTAAAAGGCATTAAAAACAAATGCCTGATCCTTAATCATACATTGCTTTTTAAAAAACATTTTGAGCCAGACTCAATGGCTCACACCTGTAATCCTAGCATTTTGGGAGGCCGAGGCAGGCTGATCATCTGAAGTCAAGAGTTCAAGACTAGCCTGCACAACGTGATGAAAACTCGTCTCTACTAAAAATACAAAAATTAGCAGGGCATAGTGGCGTACTCCTATAATCCCAGCTACTTGGGAGGCTGAAGGAGGAGAATCACTTGAACCCAGGAAGTAGAGGTTGCAGTGAGCTGACATTGCGCCATTGCACTCCAGCCTGGGCAACAAGAGCGAGACTCTGTCTCAAAAAAAAAAAAAAAAATTAATTTATTTTAATTCTTTTGAATTAAAAAAATAAAAATAAACATTTTGGGGACAATTAGGAAATTTTGAAAATGGACAGGGTACTAGATGAATTCAGAGACTGATGGCTCAATTTGTTGGGTACGATAATGGTATTGTGGTTATGTAGAAGAAAGTTTTATTTTTTAGAGATGCATACTGAAATATTTAGGAGTGAACTGTCATGATGTCTCTCATTTGCTTTGAAGTGTTGATTGATAGGTTGATAGGCAGATGGATGGCTGGAGGAAGCAAGTAGGCACAGTAGTCATAGCTGTTGAATGTAGGTAGTGGGAATACCGGTGTTCACTTTACTATTCTTTCTGCTTTTCTGAATCTTTGTAATTTCTTATAATAAAGCATTTAAAAGCTTCCCACTCTACTTCTCAGCTTTGGGTTTCTATTCCAGGTGCAGTACGTGATTCAAGGGTATCACAAAAGAAGAGAGTATATTGCTGCTTTCCTCAGTCACTTTGGCACGTAAGTTCTGCTCTGTTTGAACGATATACCAGTGATGCCCTCGCTTGCTGATGACCTCAACATGGGGCTTGATTGAGAAAATAGCAATTACTTCTTACACATGATACTTTTTTTTTTTTTTGAGACAGAGTCTCGCTCTGTCACCCAGGCTGGAATGTAATGACATGATCTTGGCTCACTGCAACCTCTGCTTCCCGAGTTCAAGCGATTCTCCTGCCTCAGTCTCCTGAGTAGCTGGGATTATAGGCATGGTCCACCACACTGGCTAATTTTTGTATTTTTAGTAGAGATGGGGTTTCACCATGTTGTCCAGACTGGTCTCAAATTCCTGACCTCGTGATCCACCTACCTCAGCCTCCCAAAGTGCTGGGATTACAGGCGTGAGCCACCACACCCGGCCTCACATGATACCTTTTTAATGCTACTTTGATCCTTTTTGGTATGCTGTTTATACCAAAGCTCCCAGGATCCCTTTTTTTTTTTTTTTTTGCCCCTTCGGTATTCTTTGGCAAATAGTAGAATCAAATATCTTCCCTAGAGCAGCAGCCTGGACAGCCCTGAACACAACAGTAGTAATGGTGGTGACAGTCACTTGTTGCAGAACTCTCTACAATTGGCATAGCACTTTTTACCTCCGTGCCCTCACAGTAGCCATGGGGTGAACCAGGCAGGCATCACTGACACATTTAGTGGAAGAAGCTCTGAAACTGTGGTAAGTTCAGTAACCCAGTGGAAGTCACACCCCTAGAAGAAGTGGAGCCAGGGCAGGAACCCCATTTCCCCAGGACTCAGGCCTCCTGATAGGACTCCACTGCCAACAGTGCCACACAGATCTGGGGAGGAAATCCAGCATTCGATGCAAAAGCTGTGGCTCGCACTCGAGGTTAGGAGTTGAAAGCAAGCACCGAGAGGGGAGAAGGAAGCCTGTGACACCATGGGCGCCTCTGGCTGCTCCGTCCCTGTGCCTTTGCCCTTTCCTTCTGGCTGCCTGTGGCCATGCTGCCCTGCAGCCCTGTTTCCTTAAGTAAGTCAGAGGCCTGATCAAGCTTCTCCTTGGGCTTTGCTCAGTGGGACAGGGAATGGGTTTTCCTCACGATCTTTAGAAGGTGGAACATTCTACCCATTGTGGGTAACTAGGCAATAAGGGTTTTAGAGGTCTGATGATAGCCCACCTTATTCCACAGAAGGCTTATAAATATATAAATATATCTAGTAATACAAAATTAAATTTTTAAATAAGGAAATTAGGATAAAAGGAAATTAGGAATAGGGAAGAGAAGATGAAACCAAGAAAATGATTTGTCACCCTCTGGGATATAAGAAAATTTCTGACTCCTCAAACCAATTTTAAGACATTTTTCTCATTCCCATAATGGAATTTTTTGTTTCTCCAAAATAGAAGTGTCAATAACCAAACAGTATGACTGTCTCTCACATGAGTCTTTAATACTTACGATTTTTTTCAGCTTTGTTTGTGAACATTTTGAGAAAGTACTTTTGATACAAATAGTGGTTAATAAATAATACCATTGATCTTCTTATTTTTAAGTAAGATTTTCTTCAGTATATATAATTGAACATGAAGAAGCTAGCACAGTGGCCTCCAGAATGGAGTACACACACCGCAGAAGTTACACAGCTCACTCTATTGGAGTACAAGAAAAATATGAAAACTACATTTACATTTGCTTTCAAATCTCACTTTTTAAATATACTTTTTTCTGTATATTTTATTATGCATGTAGTACAGTAATATACTAAAATGGATTACATACTTGTCTTTGCCTATGGGATGCAGGATCTGAAAAGTATTGATTATCAGCACTATAACATTATTGGGCTAATTATAAATTCATAGAGAGGCCAGGCACAGTGGCTCACGCCTGTAATCCCAGCACTTTGGGAGGCCAAGGTGGGCGGATCACCTGAGGTCAGGAGTTCGAGACTAGCCTGGCCAACATGACAAAACCCTGTCTCTACTAAAAAATACAAAAATTAGCCTGGGCGCGGTGGCTCACGCTTCTAATCCCAGTACTTTGGGAGGCCGAGGTGGGTGGATCATGAGGTCAGGAGTTTGAGACCAGCCTGGCCAACACAGTGAAACCCCATCTCTACTGAAAATGCAAAAATTAGCTGGGCGTGGTGGCGGGCGCCTGTAATCCCAGCTACTTGGGAGGCTGAGGCAGGAGAATCACTTGAACCTGGGAGATGGAGGTTGCAGTGAGCCGAGATCATGCCACTGCACTCCAGCCTGGACAACAGAGCTAGACTCTGTCTCAAAAAAATTAAAAAATTAAAAAAAAATTAGCCAGGCATAGTGGCAGGCGCCTGTAATCCCAGCTATTCAGGAGGCTAAGGCAGGAGAATTACCTGAACCTGGCAGGCGGATGTTGCAGTGAGCCAAGATTGCAGCACTGCACTCCAGCCTGGGCAATAGGTTGAGATTCTGTCTCAAAAATAAATAAATTCATAGAGAGAAATATAAACTAAAGAATTATCAACTTAAGATCGGAATGATATACCAACCATTTTTTAGCAGATCACTTACCCTTCAGTGTCTTAGTTCTTTTACCTTTACAAGGAGTGTTAACTGTTCCTTCCAACTTAAACTGGGAGGGCATCAGTATCAGTGATCTGATTGGCCTGGTTTGGTCAGGGATATCGCATCTCTAAGGACATCAGAGTCCTCCTTGTATGGATGAGAAAGAAAATTATATCTGTCCTTAGCGTGGTTAGTATTGTCCCATTATGGCGACATCCTCCAGGTGCTCAGCTCTTGAGGGAAATGGATGAGGTGAGCCTACAGAATTGCTCCTGGCCCCTTCAGAGGTCAGGGGATGTTCTCTTTTGACACATGAAATATGCGTCTCCCTTCCTGAACCCAGCATTCACCCATCTAATGTTGCTATTTTGCCTTGAGCCCAGTGGGGAGGACAGGGGAACACAGTGAAAGGGGACACAGTTGTCTGGTGTGATTACCCTAACCCAGCCCAAGAAGAAAAGTAACATATAATACTAAATTTACTAATACTGTCATCGCATACTACTGTGTAGTGCCCAGTGGAAGTCAGACTTCACAATCACTGTACAGGTAGTATGCTGACATTTGGGATTGTAGTGTCCTTGCTGACTTGATTTCTTAATATGTCCTTCTACTCATAATTAATGTAATAACTAACATTTGTGTAGTATTTTATGATTTATCTTATTTGTTTTTCACAACCCTGTAATGAATTTTGCAAATATTTTTATGCTTGATTTGCAGGTAAGGAAACTAAGGCTGCAAAGGTTAAGTGATTTGCCTGAGGTCATAGTAGATAGTCAGTGGCAAAGCTGTGACTTAAACCTAGATACTGTCATTCCAAACCCCAGACCGTTCCTGCTTTAATCCTCACTTGCCTTAAACCCGTCTCAGAGTCAATAACCCAGACTTCACGAATATATTCTTTACTTGGTTTTATTGCTTTTCTACCTTATTTTTATGAGGGTTTTTTTTTGTGTGTGTGTGTATGTTTTTATTACTCAGAGGTGTCGTGGAATATGATGCAGAAGGCTTTACAAAACTCACTCTGCTGCTGATGTGGAAAGATTTTTGTTTTCTTGTACACAGTGAGTATACTTTTGCTGTCAGCATGTCAGCATACATTTTTAAATGTCCGAAACCACATGTAATAATCAGTGCTAGAACCTTTTGTGTCCTGTCTCAGTTCCTTTTACGGTAGCATATATATATTTATTGTGGGATATTAAAGAGAAAATATCTCTAGACCAGTGGTTCTCAACCACTGGAGTGATTTTGCACCTCAGGGGATGTTTAGCAATGCCTGGAGACATTTTTGATTGTTATGACTGAGGGGTTGGGGATTTGCTACTGGCATCTAATGGGTGGAGGTCAGCGATGCAGCTAAACATTCTACAACGCACAGGACAGCCCCTCACAAAAAAAAAAAAAAAAAATTATTGAACGCAAAATGTCAGTATTGCCAAGCTAGAGAAACCCTACCCTAAACAGATTTCTGTTTCACATTGTGTTTTCAGTATCAGGCCTCAGGACTTTTGGGATTATTAGAAACATACCTGCTGTGACCATTTGGTTATCATCCTTATTCAGTGAAAAGTCTGCAACTTTGATAAAATGTAATACATAACTTAAAGATGGGGCAATGTTTTCATGTATCCCCAACATCATTTCTTCATGTTCTTCTGCATAGTAGGCATACTTAATGGTTGTTGTCACATAGTAATCTTTCAGTCCGTAAGCATCGACCCAGCTTTCTCTTGATAGATAATTTAGAGTCTTTTTGTTTCCTAATTATGTGAGAACCAGTGACCCATGGAGTCAGGTTCAAGTTGCAAGTTAACTGAGACCTTCATTCTGTAGTAATTTGGTATGTACAACGTTCAGTCTTCAGGCCAAGGCAAAGGAGCCAGCTTTCCCAGCTCGAGTTAGAGAAAAGCAGTGGGTTTGAATTGACTTCACTCAAACCCATGGCTTTTAGAACTGACCCTATGCCTCAATAAACTACTGCAGGAGGAATAACTTCGGCTATATTTAGCCAAAGGCATCAGACAGTAAAGATACAGACTTCAAGGGATTTTCCTTCTGCAGCAGATTTACCTTCTTCGTTGTGATTTGCTTCGGTTAAAATAGTTCTTCAGTTCATTTTTCTACCTGATTGCACACCAATAGATAGTAAGGGAAGAAACCAATAAAACATCCATAGTGGCAGGAAGAAGAAAACTTCTAAGTAAAACCTTATCTTGGTAAAATTCACATGGAGATCATGGAGCGCAGGCCACAGTTTTAAGGAGATAGGCCCCTCTGCCTTTAGGTGTTGCCCAACAACCACCACTTTTCAAGCTGTCATGCACCTTGTCACCACCATAACCTACAGTGTGGGGCCAGGTCAGGACGAAGCCCCACAATCAAGGCCTCCTGGCAGTCTCCTCTTTGCTCAGTCCTCGATGGCCCTGCTAATCTGAGCTGAACACTGGTACTGCAGCCACCACTTTTGATTCTGACCTTATATATCCGTGCTTTGGTTTGGCATTCTGAGGCTTAATTCCTTTGTGTAATCTCACTTCCTATTTGCTGTATTCACTTTACCTTACCATGTTGGTCCCAGTGATTCTTTCTCTAACCTGATGACCCGGCGGCAGATCTTGACTGCTTCCTTAATTTACTAATATCTCTTGTGACTTGGGAAAGTTGTCTGGTGTGATTATCCTAACTCAGCTCAAGAGGGACCTGGGCCTTACCTCAAATGATGGTGGTGACAGTCTCATGCCTCCTGAGTGGCTGTGGACAACTCCATCACAGCAGGACAATTGCAGACACTAAGATGAATGCTTCAATCAGTTCCTTCATCTCAAAGTGATATAATAGCCCAAGTCTTTTTCCTGAATCTTTGGTCTCCTAGCCGTTGTTATACTTTCTGTTGATGTCAGATCGTATCAGAATAAGGGGAAAAATATATTTCATGGCATTGCTCAGTTATAACCTATGTTTTCCACATGCAGCTCAAAGATGACTATTCTAGTGGTTGCTAGCAAGAAGAAATTGTCACTTGCAATGATGGTCAGGGATAAAAGAACATTCACCTCTCAGCTTCTGCCAACTCTTTTGTCAGTACATTCAGTATTGTAGCTATTGCTGTTGCTTTTGAAGGTCTATTCCCCACAGCATATTTTCTCCTTGGTACCATGTGTTCAGTATTTCTTACAGCTCCTTCTCCGCCTTTCTATCTTAGCTTTTCCAAATCAGACGTGCAGAATTGAGTCCCAAAGTCATCTTTTCATTTCATTTTGAATTACCTTCTTCAGAAACATAGACCCCCCCCAGGCACTCATTAGAACAGCTACCCGGAACCTTGGGAATTGTTTAATTTACTTTTTCCAAAGTGTTTCCTGGGGCTCTTATTCCTGTTCTCCCCCGGCTGTTTGGTCCCTGTCTCCTAGCATCACTGCCACACTCTTGGCTCTTCTGGCAGATAAGACCCTGCCTGTGAATCAAAGAACTTTGATGCTGTTTCCTGCTCCATCACTCACTCGCAGCCTGTCTTTAAATAAATTATTTTCACCCATTTCCTTTTTTCTTATCTAAAATATAGGACTTGCTACCTCAGAGTGAAGCTTGGTTAGATAATGTGTTTTACTTAGTCATGCAGTTAAACATCTGACACTTACCTTCCTTTGGAAGCATCTGCTGGCTTGGTTACAATGCCCAAGGGACCACTTGTTCCTTTTTTTTCCCTTCCATGAAGATGGGGAGGGGAATATGAGGTGGCAGAGACTTAACAAAGAACATTGCAGTGAATTATTCTGAGATCTCAAGAGGTGAAAAGGAGGAAGGAAGTGCCTGGAAATAGAGCCATTCCCCTGTGGCTGCCTCTACCACTTCATGGAGGTTGAAGACCCAGCAGGACATGAAATATCATCTCTGTTCTCCCCTTCCTCCCTCTTCTCCCCAGGCCCTGGAAGATTGCTATTGATAGGACAGCTCCTGGCAATAATTATGCACATTTTGGATGCTAGAGGAAAGAGGCACTTCTCTTGAGACAGACAGCTCTGACCTCAGACTTTGCCAGAGTTTGAAAAAGCAGATTGCCTTAAGGAAAAGCATTGCACAGATTCTGGGATCTCTCAGGAGGTACGGCAACATCCTAGCATTCTGGCAGTTCCAGGAATGGGGACTGTGGCCATGACGGTGTCCATGGAGCATTTCCATCCACTTATTCCTTCCTTACATCATTCATTTTCAGCATGTCTCAAATCTTGGAACTGTAGCAGGATCAGAAACTTGCTCCCATCCAGAAACTATTTTTAGGAAACTTTCCTGGCCATCATCTAAGAATTTTTCATAGCAGTTATATAGGCAGTTCCATATTTGCTAAATTATGCTTACCTCGGGAGGTAGATGTTACCTTTGAGCTAGTAGCTTTTGTTTATTTTCTTTTTTTTTTTTTTTGAGACGGAGTTTTTCTCTTGTTGCCCAGGCTGGAGTGGAATGGTGGGATCTCGGCTCACTGCAACCTCCGTCTCCCGGGTTCAAGCGATTCTCCTGCCTCAGCCTCCCGAGTAGCTGTGATTACAGGCATGCGCCACCAAGCCTGGCTAATTTTGTAATTTTAGTAGAGACAGGGTTTCTCCATGTTGGCCAGGATGGTCTCAAACTCCTGACCTCAGATGATCCACCTGCCTCGGCCTCCCAAAGTGCTGGGATTACAGGCATGAGCCACCGCGCCTGATCCACTAGTAGCTTTTCAGAATGCAGCATGGGAAGAGAACCAGATAGCAAGGTGAAGTAACAGAACAAAAAAAATGCTCTGGGGAAAAACTACATGCTTTTTTTTCGTGGGTCCCAGTCAGCTGCACTGTAAGTAGACACACGAGGCAGCTGTCTACGGGACTAGAGTTGATACTTGGAAGGGGAGACAATTGAGTGTTGAGATTTGTGACTGTATGACAAGCTGTCTTTTTCCATTACCTATACATCTTTGGTAAATGACCCTTTGAGTCATTCAGCCTGGACTGTAGGCCTTGTCTCCCTGGTAAAATTCCTGTTAGACCAAATTTGACCACTTTTTTCTCTTGTTTTCCTCTACCTCCAACTTAACTGAGTTCTGAGTTTACTAGAAACCTACTGCATGCTCAGTACTATGCAAGGTATTAGGGGATATAAGTACATAACTCAGAGTTGACCTTAAGATACTTACAGTGACATAGCACAGAAATTGGAAAACTACAGCCTGCGGGCCAAATCCCATGTCAGCCTGTTTTTATAGGGCCTTGAGCTAACGATAGCTTTTTTTTTTAAACAGCATCTCACTGTCGCCCAGGCTGGAGTGCAGTAGTGTGATCTTGGCTCACTGCAGCCTCCGCCACCTGAGTTCAAGCGATTCTTCTGCCTCAGCCTCCCGAGTAGCTGGGACTACAGGCATGCGCCACCACGCCCGGCTAACTTTTGTATTTTTAGTAGAGATGGGGTTTTACCATGTTACCCAGGCTGATCTTGAACTCCTGGCCTCAAGCAATCCACCCACCTAGGCCTCCCAAAGTGCTGGGATTATAGGCGTGGGACACCGCGCCCTGCCCTAAGGGTAGCTTTTACATTTTAAAGGGATTGTTAGAAAACACAAGCAGAAGAATATGCCGCAGAGACAGTTTATGGTTTGCAAGGCCTAAAATATTTGACCCTTCACAGAAGTTTGCCAACTTCTTGTCTAGTTGATGAGAAAAAAGATTAGATCAAGGTGAAGTACAATGGTAGGCATTTTTAAAACAAATACTTTATGACTTGTCTACTTTATGCAAGACACAGTTATATGAGAGCCTCATGTGTTAAATGTCTCGCTCTGGAGGAGGTCTTTTTTCTCCCTCTCTGGAGCGCAGTGGTGCAATCATGGCTCACTGTAGCCTCAACTTCCTGCGCTCAGGTGATCCTCCCACCTCGGCCTCCCAAGTAGCTGGAACTATACATATGCGCCACCACGCCCAGCTAATTTTATGTAGGGACGAGGTTTTGCTGTTTCTCAGGCTGGTCTCAAACATCTGGGGCTCAAGGGATCCACCTGCCTCAGCCTCCCAAAGTGATGGGATTACAGGCATGA